GGGCGCCCGCACTAGCAGAAGCCCAGAGCAGCCCACTCCCGGCGGCGGCCGGGGTCCAGGCTGCGCAGCGTCCAGTCCTTGAGTGCAGAGCCAGGCGTCGGCTGTCGCTGCCGCGGGACTGCACCCCCCGACATTAACCCCGAGGCCCCTGGCCGAGGGCCTGCGGAGGGACGCTGCCTCGGGGGCAAAGGTGGCTGATGGTGTCATTAAGGGGGATTCACGCCTGCGGGCGGAGTGGGAGCCGGGTGGCGCGGGCCGTCTGCCGTGGGCACTCGCCCTGGCCCGGGCACGGAGGGGCCCCAGCCCCCCATTCCAAGTAGGTCCTGCACCGGCACTCCGAGACGAAGCGGGCCCCGGCGTGAGCCCCACGAGGAGTTCGAGGAGTTCGCTGGGGTGCCGTGGGGAGAGGAGGCCGAAGGGGGAGCAGCGCCCCGGAGGCGGCCCCTCCCCCACCGCGGTGGCCCCCAGCCAAGCCGCCGGAGCCAGCCACTCTCTAAGGCCCCCCGGGGGCCGCAGGGACTGGGCAAAGGGGCCTTCGCCTGGGACAGAAGCGGCAAAGCCCGAGGGCGCAGAGGCCACGGGAGCCCCCACGTGTCTGTTTCTGGTCCCCCCCCCGGCTCCCTCCCCCCCGCGCCTGGTGCAGGGCCGAGGCCAGACGCAGGGGCCCCTCGCATGTCCATGCCAGGGCGCCTCCGGCCTCCAGCCGGCTCTTCAGGCATCTTCCTCCCGGTCCTGTCCAGCAGTTCCGCCTCCCCGCTCAGCTCCACCCTCCCTTGGGCGGGGCAGGGCACGGGAGCCCCACTTTCCCGGGGACCCCGTTGCAACCGAGGGGTGCCCCTGGCCTGCCCTGAGCTGCCAGCGGTGGAAGGACTGACCACAGGTCACCTGCCCACGAGGTCAGGCTCTCGGGGGCGGGGTGTCCATCCATTCCGCCATCATCTCCCCGCCTGCCGCAGGGCAGTGCCGCCTCGGGAGCGGGGAGCCCGCCCAGCCGGGAGCGGGGAGCCCGCCCAGCCGGGAGCGGGGAGCCCGCCCAGCCGGAAGCAGGACCTGCTCTGCTGTTTGCCCGGCTGACCCCCGTGGGCGCCGGGCACGTCCACACCTCGCGGCGCCGGGCGGCTCCTCCTGTTTGCCTTCCTGAGCCCGA